AGCAGACAGAACTCACACACACCAGACCTGCTGTTCGAAAATAAAGCAGTTAGTAAAGTTAATAAAACAGCATATTCCAAGAGTGGATTACAGATAACTTCTTAATGATCTTACTGATAACTAAGCATGCTTCTATCAACTCGAATATCAATATGCTTGTGAATATGCCAATATGAGTTCCATGCTTAAACCCCTTTTTATGCTTTGAGCTCTATACTCACCTTTAGTCAGTAATACTGTAAAGAGCCACACATGATTCAGTCAGTTTATTATCAATCCTGCAGGTGTTTTCTCCTCCTCATCAGTTCGGTCTGTGCGTGACTGAATCGACGCACAAGCAAGTAAATAAAACTATAAACATAACATCTCCAAACAACAAGACGCGTTTTAAATACGTCATTGACCGTTCAGCCAATCCAGAGCGAACGCGTCACCAGCATGATTGAACTACAATTCCCATGAGACACAGGACTACAGAAGCAAACATGGCGGCCAGTAAGTGTTTTTTTTTTGCTGAAAGATATTGTGTTCTGTTTTAGTCCGTCTCGCTCGTGTTTGCAATAACAGATTAAACTGGGAGCTCACGAGGGCTATCACAATATATCCGTGTACTAAAAATAATGAATGTATAATGTGGAGATACGAGAATGACCTTGGTCTCATATTAACGTTAGCTGTGGTTTGCTTTGAACACAGGCTGAAAACATGATTTATATCGATAGGAGAACTTATGTGACGCCTTTAGAACGCTAACAGAATATGCCAGAATGTATCATGCTACTAGCATGTTTGATTTCCGACATGGCAGTAATTCAGCACTGTTATCGTGTACCGCGGTATTACATTACGGTATTACCGCGGTATTACAACGTGATACCGTTAGGCATGTTATGCACTGCAGTCAAACGCTAGTTTCTCTAGTTGGCAGGTTTCTGAAGAACGCTTGGAGTAAAGAGCCAGTGATCACAGTTTCCTGTGGTGTCGGGCTGCTGGGTGAGCCAGACATTAATGCACAGCATCACATTATGCATCTTCATCGTCCTGCTTTATGAATCTTAAGATCGATATATACATGTTGTGTTTTCAGCTTGTGCTTTGCCGGCTTTGAGCCCTTTAACAAAGTACACAGGAATGATGAACCAAGCCATTCCATACAATTATCCAGGTATATTATCCTCATGCAGTGTGTAAACCAGGGCTTTCTTTGATTTGGGGAACTTTGTAAATAAATATGTATATTTTAGCTATGATATTTATTGGTGTTTGTGTGTATTTTATTATTATTATGTCATTATCATCATATTTGAGATACTATTACAGTTTTTATTACTATTTTACATTTTTATATTTTTCATTTAAAGTTCTAGTAATTTTGTTTTTGTCATTTTTAATAGTTTTTTTATGTGCATGCATATATATATATATATAGATGTATTAATTTTATTTCAGCTGTAGTTATTTTGGCACATAAAGTTAAACTAAAATAAAGCGTGTTGCTTTTGAAAGTAGCTTAAATAAAAGGTATCGAAAATGTTTTTTTAATTTTAGTGTCAGATTTAGTTTTGGTTCACTATAATAACCCTGATTTGTATTATTATGATGTAGTTATTTCTAGGTAACTCTCAGATGTTTATATCGAGAAGCTTGAGCTCGGTGCATTGCATCTGTAATTAGCTGGTCAAAGTGTTTAGGTTTGCTCTTCTGAATCCCGTGTCTCTCTTCAGTCCCGGTTCGAGATGATGGAAACATGCCAGACGTCCCAGCGCATCCCCGTGACCCGCAGGGGGAGAACCTGGACTGGCTGAAAAACCTGTGAGAAGTCAGCTGTACAGTCACACTCGCCTCTACTTCTGTCTCAATAAAAGCTCTTTGTGTAATTATCTGCTTGTTTTAGGAAGTCATATCTGGTGTACTTCAGTCGAAGGCTTTTTAGCGTTATGGTTTGTGAATAGAGACTGACATGAGCCAAAACCACAGAGATTAACTTTGTTTATTGAAGTTCATTAAAATAAAAAGAAGAAAGGCTATACATTTATCATGATGTTAAAACATTCAAAAGGCCAAAACGTATGACTGAACACAATATATCTAGGGAAAGTCTGTCAGGTGGCTTCATGCCGCATTTAATAATCAAAACTGACTTGTACAGTAAAGTCCTGCTTTAAATGAATCACTCTATTACAGTATACAGTTATATGTGCATGTATATAAGGTTGGAAATTATGCTTTTTGCATTATTCAATTTAAGATATCTTTATAATAGAAAAAGTTAGTAGATGAAGGTATCGGAACAAACCCTGGAATAGAGAAATGATTCAAACATTTATGCACAAAGGTATCATTAATAATTAGTTAGATTGGTTTCAGTGTAAAATCTTACAACGATAAGCAACTTTTAAGACTATTCAGAAACAACTTAAAACACAAACTCAAAAGTAAATGAATCATATTCTTTAGGTTCGTTTCAAACCAGTGGACGTACACGTCTTTAACTAAGTCTTCTGTCCCAACAAAGAGTAAGGAAGACGTTTTTTCAGCACATTTCTTAGCTACAGCACTTCGCCACAGTCACGTCCTCCAGCATCTCTACACTTTCCAGAGCCTTCTGTAACATCTTCAGATCCCTCGCCTAAAATCTGCTGCAACTCATGACTACAAGCTTTAGCGATTTGGGGTTTATTAAAATACATGAGACAGACGGAAGGGGGGACAAGAGGCCAGAGCGAGAGCCTCTTCACGTCACACTTTCACAAAATCCTTTCCAACTCTCTCAAAGCCTTTCTATATATAATTACACTGCGTTTCCATTCAGCCGAGTCCTGCTTTTCACTCCAACAGCCGGCCAGTTCACCTGCTTCTCCCAGAATGCTCTAGGAAACCTTGTCTTTATTCAACATTTAAAAAAAAAAAAGAAGTATCTTATTTTATGTGGGAAGTACACTGAAAGGAAAATCTTTTTTAAATGCTGAAGTGTGTTAAACCTTCTCATGCATCCTATTCTTCATGCAATCCTGAAGGGTTTGTTTGAGCTGCGTCCTCTACTGTACAGACGAGAATTTACACTTCCTTCAGCCTGATACTTTTGCTGTGAAAGTGCTTTTACATTTGCCAAAAGTAGAACTTTTTATATTAAAACCAAACATGCAAGCCCAGACCAGATGAGAAAAAGTAACGCAACACATTACTTTCCATAAAAAGTAACTAACAAAATAAGGGAGTAATGCAATAATGTAATGCATTACAATTAAAAAAAATAACCTTCCCCAACACTGAGTAAATAACCACAGAATTTACATTTACATAAAAAATTTGATTATGAAATGTGCATTTGTGTACCAGAAAATACATCTCTTTTTTATACTCACCACCCTGTACATCTAATATATTTCATGAAACTAAATCGGGAATCATCCCCACAAATATCAGTTGCCAAAAGCTTTGTCGTCATGTTCACTGCAGACATCACGCTTCACAGTAAAGGAGTTAAAATACTGAAGAAGCCACAATATCAATTTTTCCATGTTCTATCCCATGCACACTCATCCGAAATACATCAAAACCTCATTTTTCTGATAACGTACTATATATAGAATATACATTTGATCAGCTAAATCCTAAATGATCTAAAGGCATTGAACTGCACTTCATTCTCTGATACTGGTTATCGTATAAATGGGTTTCTGTTGGCAAAAGTGTGAGCTCAGCGGTTGGGTTACTCATGAAGCATTCACAGGAGCATCTCTGGCTGTCAATCAAAGGCTCTGCTGTATCAGTGGGGCGGAGCGATCATTGGTCACCGTCTTCTTGAGGCGAATATGAGCGAACGGGTTGATCCTGTGAAGAGGGGACGGTTAAATGAACTAACCCATCAGACGTGCAGAGCTCTTCTGAACACAGGGGACTAGCTTTACCTGCTGGGTGATGGAGGCGTCGAGGTGAAATCAGTCGACGTCTGAGGAACATCAAAACACGTGTCAGCAGAATATACGCCGATATATTCTAAATCCCAGCATGATTTAGTCAGAAAGAGATATAAATGAACATTTACAATGGAAAAGGTTCCAATGAAAAAAAATTATAATAATAATCTTCTGTAAGGATCATCTTGAGATGCTACAAGCAAAACATTCGTTTTTCATGCACTGGTCAGTTTTGAGATTTTGGGCTATTTTGCTTCCATAATTTGTGTGTGTGAAAACATCCAAAATACACATTTAAAGGGACAGTTCGTCCAAAAATGAAAACGCTGTCATCATTTAATCACCCTCAAGTCGTTCCAAACCTGTATGAGTTTCTTTCAGCTGTTGAAAAAAATATGTAAACAAATAAAATCAACTGTTTGGTTTCTGACATTCTTCAAAATATCGTCTTTTATGTTTAACGTTAGAAAGAAACTCATACAGGTTTGGAACAACTTGAGGGTGATTAAATGATGACAGAATTTTCATTTTTGGGTGAACTGTCCCTTTAAATGTGTATTTGTATTGCACTTTGACTATTTGCAACTGTAGATTTTAATTCCAGTACATATCTTTAAAGGCTGTTCGTATAACAAATTTAACTTTAATGCATCAACAAAATCATATAAGAATCTAATTTGTTTTTATCCAATGTTCAGATTTCTGTTCTGGAATTGTATGTAAATTAGAGCAAAAATAATGTACCGTGGTTTGTTTTTCCCTATTCACCTGCATTGTCTTAAAGGAATAGTAAACCCAAAAATAAATAAATAAAAATAGCTGAAAATATCCTCACCCTCAGGCCATCCGAGATGTAGATGAGTTTGTTTCTTC